TGTCCGTCCGTCTGTCCGTCCGTGTACACGATAACTCGAGCAAAAATTGAGATATCTCAACAAAATTTGGTATGTAAGTTTTCGTTAATGCAGGGTAGGTTGGTATTGAAAATGGGCGAAATCGGACTGTAACCACGCCCACATCCCATATAACGGTAATTTTCGGAAATACGAAAACTGCGATATTTTAGTAACTACTAAAGATTATTCACTCAAAATTGATATTTACAACAATTTTTAGACGAAAAATAAGAATATTATAAATTTTTGGAAAATGGGCGTAGCCACGCCCAGTTATGGTTACATGTGTATATCTTGGTAACCGCTGCACCAATTTCTTCCAAACTTGGCACAGTTGTTGGCCTTAGTACAGCATAATAAATGGCCGAAAATTTCAAAAATCGGACAATAACCACGCCCACATCCCATATAACGGTAATTTAGAGAAATACAAAAATTTCGATAAATCAGTAAATATTAAAGTGTAGCGGCCCTATTTCATTAATAGTTTATTTGTGTAACCATGTACTTATATTTTGTAATGCAACTCTGTGTATTCATTTCATGTAACAACCCTGTATTTCAATCATACGTTATTTTGCAACTCTGTATTTATATCTAGCACTACAACCCTGTGCATTGCATTGACATTTGTGATTCCTATAAATACTCGAGCTTGTACTGTGAATTTTTTAATTAGCTGCGGGCCTTTGACGAGTGCGGTTCTCGTCCGATATTGCTTCGGACAGTCCAAACTCATAAAAATAAACTCAAAGCTAAAAGTTCTTATATTTTTCTGTAACTTGTGTTTTTTTATAAACAATAAACGTGTCACATGACATACAAACTGGGAGGCAAAAGGACTCTCAGCATTTCATTGGCGCCCAACTTTATGGCTTCGAACGACTCCAATTGCGACTCACCAACAAGCATGGCTACCTTTTCATCAGAGCAGTTTTCGCAAATTTTAGCTGCGATCTCAAGCGGAAAAAAGTGGTTCCTTTACGCAGTGCACATCACGTTTCCGAGGACAACGGGATCCTGCAGTAGTGGAAGAATTTATTACCGCTATAACGGTTTACAAAGACATCGAAAAAATTTCCGACGCCGACGCCTTGCGCGGTATGCCACTGCTGCTCGAAGATTACGCAGCGACGTGGTGGGCTGGCGTTAAAGATTCTTTGCAAACCTTCGCCGCTGCATCTGAGTTGATACGCACAACATTTTCGCCTGATTGGAAAATCTTTTTAAATATATTTGAGCAAAAGCAGCATGCACGTGAAGCCACTGATAGTTTTATATGCAAAAAGCGATTACTGTTCTCGGAGTTGATGGTTACCACTAGCGAAGCAATACAGTTAAACATGATTTACGGCCTTTTATCGATAAAAATTAGAGAGCGTGTGCGCCGTGATTCATTTTTAACATTTGACGGGTTAATAGTACGTTGTCGAGAAGCGGAATTGTTTTTGGCAGAAGCAAAGCAACTTACGCCGGCAGTTAATGAGGAACCCGAAAATGCTAACGGCCCAAAACGGTGTTCTTTCTGCAGACTTCGAGGCCACACTGTAGATGTTTGCTTTAAGAAGAAAAAGGAGCAACAGTTACAGCAGGCAAAACCACAACAGCAACAGCAATCTGGCACGACCAGTACAAGCGCAGTAGCGTCGCAAGTGAAACGCGCAGCAGCGTTCGCATGTTACGGTTGTGGTGCACCAGGCGTGTACCGCGCGAATTGCCCAAAATGCAGTGGACACAGTAGGGAGAGCCCACAGTATTTAGCTTTCAACAGTGTTTCCACCACTATCGTTGGCAGATCGATTCCATCGGCCCACATTACGATGTTCGGTATGCAAGGTGAGGCGTTATTCGACACTGGAGCGAAGACCAGTGTAGCCAGCGCAAACTTAAAAAGAATTTTGACCAGCAAAGGGTGTGTTTTCCAGGACGTAATGGCAGACGTTACCTTGGCAGATGGCACCACAACCACTCAAAAGGTTTTGTCCACTATTTGTGACATCACTATCGGCAACAGAAATCGAAAAATAAGGATGATATCTTTACCAAATGCTACAAAGAATCGAACTCTCATAGGGGCAGACTTTATGGAACAAGCGGGCATTGTGTTGAATATTGCACAGCCCTTCTGGTACTTTGAAGACGAACCAAAGATGAAATACGACTTTACAAAACCCAGCACTAGTGATCTACCATCTGCTATCGACATAGCTGGCGCGCATGTAGTAACAGGCAACATGCAGTCACCTGGTACCAAAGCTAAGAGCGAGTACTCCAACTTCATACGCTACGTCGAAAAGTACAATACCAACTCAGTTGTTGCGGACGCGCCAGATATCTGTCCAGAAATAAACTTTGGTCCATCAGTAAAGAACAAACGCTCACACTCGAACGATTATTCACCACACTCCGTTCAGAAGATCTTCAGAAGCTCCTTACCGGTTGGCGAAAGGACACCCGAGAACTCTTCTCGGTTGTTTGCACCCCCAATGCGAACCAAATCCAGCAATACCGATTTCGAGAACTTTTGTGGTGAAAATTTCTTTCCACTATACTCCTTCGAAGTAAGTTTGTCACCACAGTCAGTTGGTTACGAGCTGACGATGAAGCAGAAGATGGAACTTGAAGCATTGCTACTCACGCATGCTGACATCTTTAAAGAGCCGACGTCTGCAACACCGTATGCTACACATCACATCGACACGGGCGGGCATCCTCCAATTGCCTTGCCGCCATACCGCCTATCACCACAACGTAAAGATCTGTTGAAGTTAGAGCTCGATAAAATGCTCAATACGGGAGTTATCGTGGAATGCGAATCACCATGGGCAGCTCCCGTAGTAATAGTACCAAAGAAGTCAGGCGGCATACGGATTTGCGTCGACTATAGAGAGTTGAATGCGATCACCAAACCAGATCGGTACCCGCTGCCGCGAATTGACGACTTGTTGCATGAAGCCAAGGCCACAAACTTCATGTCCACTTTGGATTTGCAATCCGGGTATTGGCAAGTCGGGATGAAGGACGAAGATCATGACAAAACAGCGTTTGTTACCCCGTTTGGCATGTACAAATTCACGCGTATGCCATTCGGCTTGCGAAACGCGCCAGCAACGTTTCAGCGCCTAATAGATCGACTTAAAGTCTCTTTAGGAAACATAGTTTTAGTTGCATATTTGGACGATATAATTTTAAGTTCGAAAAATTTTAAAGAACACCTAGAGGAACTGAGCCGGCTATTCGAGCGCTTACAAAAATTTGGTCTCAAGGTAAACAAAGAAAAATGTCGCTTTGCTTGCCATGAAGTAAAATATTTGGGGCACATATTGACTCCAGATGGCATCAAGGTTGATCCAAGCAAGGTTACTGCAATATCAATGCGTAAATCCCCAAGAAACGTCAAGGAGTTGCTGTCCTTTCTCCAAGCGTGTTCCGGGTATAGACGGTTTGTGCCTCTATTCGCAGATGTCGCCAAACCGCTTTTGCAGCTGACGAAGAAAAGCGCCAAATGGACTTGGACTGACAAGCAGCAGACGGCCTTCGATAAGATGAAATGGCTTTTAACAACTTCGCCTATACTAAAACAAGCTGACGAGAACTTGCCATTTATTCTCAAAACCGATGCTAGTGGCTATGCTCTAGGGGCAGTCCTGATCCAGTCTGAGGGACCAGATGAACATCCTATAGAGTACGCAAGTAGGCTGCTGACGAAAGCGGAGCAAAATTATTCCACTATTGAGCGTGAAGCTCTTGCCATCGTATGGGCAGTGCAAAAGTTTCGCGGTTATATAGAAGGATCCGATATAACGCTTATCACGGACCACCGACCGCTGAAATAGTTAATGACGATCAAGTCACCCACAGGACGACTAGCTCGGTGGGCATTGCTTATACAGCCTTACAATATACACATCGATTACAAGCCAGGGAAAACGAACGTTGTAGCTGATATGCTGTCACGGCCTCCGTGCGAAGGGAACCATAGAATTGATGAAGCATGCAATATTTGCGCTTTTGGTATTGATCTCCCGCGACGAGGAGCCAAGGATATTCGTGAAGGTCAGCTTAGTGATCCCGATCTTAAAACCATTATCGACTGCTTCGAAAATAAATCGGATGATGCGGCTGAGGGACCAGATGAACATCCTATGGAGTACGCAAGTAGGCTGCTGACGAAAGCGGAGCAAAATTATTCCACTATTGAGCGTGAAGCTCTTGCCATCGTATGGTCAGTGCAAAAGTTTCGCGGTTATATAGAAGGATCCGATATAACGCTTATCACGGACCACCGACCGCTGAAATGGTTAATGACGATCAAGTCACCCACAGGACGACTAGCTCGGTGGGCATTGCTTATACAGCCTTACAATATACACATCGATTACAAGCCAGGGAAAACGAACGTTGTAGCTGATATGCTGTCACGGCCTCCGTGCGAAGAGAACCATAGAATTGATGAAGCATGCAATATTTGCGCTTTTGGTATTGATCTCCCGCGACGAGGAGCCAAGGATATACGTGAAGGTCAGCTTAGTGATCCCGATCTTAAAACCATTATCGACTGCTTCGAAAATAAATCGGATGATGCGGCACATTGGTCCAAAAGAGGTTATACACTCAACGATGGGGTACTCTACTGTTAAAACGACGAAGACAGCGAAGATGCGCAACTGGTCGTTCCTAAATCAGAGCGTCCAGGTCATTACGGAATCGACCGAACATCATACAAAATAACGACACGGTATTATTGGCCCGGGATACGGAAAGATATCGAGAAGCACGTCCATAATTGTACTGATTGCCAGCGATACAAAGCAACAAACTTGAAGCCAATGGGCTTGTACCAAACGATTTCAAGCAAGCAACGCTTCGAAATCATAGCCATCGATCTGTTTGGGCCACTGCCACCAGATGCCAATGGGATGCAGCCGATATATATTGTTGAGGACGTAGCAAGTCGCTGGGTGGAGCTCTTCGCGTTAATGGGGGCTACTGCGGAAAATTGTGCGAAAACCCTGATAGATGAGGTATTCCTGCGTTACGGAGTCCCAAGACGAATTATCAGTGACAATGGAGTGCAGTTTGTATCCGCAGTGATGCAGAAGGTTGCATTCTGCCTTGAAATAAGTCAGGTGTTCACACCGGTATATCATCCCCAGGCGAATCCGGTGGAGCGAAAGAATCGAGACATGAAGGCACAGTTGGCGATATTGGTCGGTAAGCAGCATCGCACTTGGGCAGAAAAGCTCCCAGCCATACGATTCGGTATGAATACCACTCTGCCAAAGCCCTGGGTATTCTGCAGCGTTTCTTACATTCGGGCGTGAACCAAGAACTATAGGCGATGTCCAGCATGATTTAAGGTCAATCATTCAGTCGGAGAACTTTGTTACCGAAATCACACCATACTTAGCCACGCTCACTGAAGTGTTCCAAGCTGCTCGCGAATGTGAACGGAAGCAGCAAGATGCTAACAAGCGTGCTTCTAACCTACGACGGCGTGATCAGGAAGATTTGGAAATTGGCTCTAAGGTTCTGGTCACCACACATGTCCTAAGCAATGCTACCAAGGGTGTAACGTCCAAATTCGCACCACGACGAGACGGGCCTTACGTTATCATCGGTAGACAGGGTTCTACTTCCTACGTGATTGCTCACGAGGACAACCTGCAACATCCTTTGGGCACATATAATGCATCTTCATTAGTACGATATCGCAGTTCCAGTGACGAATACGAAGGTCCCATTAACATGATACGGCGTAGAGGACGACCCCGAGAGACCACATAGGATGCTTCATCGGGACGACTTCATCGGGACGACTTCAGCATCCTAGGGGGAGACTGTAGCGGCCCTATTTCATTAATAGTTTATTTGTGTAACCATGTACTTATATTTTGTAATGCAACTCTGTGTATTCATTTCATGTAACAACCCTGTATTTCAATTTTACGTTATTTTGCAACTCTGTATTTATATCTAGCACTACAACCCTGTGCATTGCATTGACATTTGTGATTCCTATAAATACTCGAGGTTGTACTGTGAGTTTTTAATTAGCTGCGGGCCTTTGACGAGTGCGGTTCTCGTCCGATATTGCTTCGGACAGTCCAAACTCATAAAAATAAACTCAAAGCCAAAAGTTCGTATATTTTTCTGTAACTTGTGTTTTTTTATAAACAATAAACGTGTCACATGACATACAAACTGCGAAGCAAAAGGACTCTCAGCATTTCAAAAGCTAATTTATTCAAAATTGATGCTTGCAACATTTCTTTACCAAGAAATACGTTTATGGTAAAATTTTGGAGAATGGGCGTGGCACCGCTCAATTATGATCACATATATGTATATCGGTAACCGTTCTACCAATTTGTACCAAACTCGGTATGGTTATTGTGCTTGCCACATAAAAGCAAAACGTTGAAAATTATTGAAATCGGACTAAAATTGCTTTTCATATAACGGTAAATTTCAGAAATGCTTGAAACTGGAATACTTCCAAATTTAAGGACGCTAATTTACTCAAAATGGATACAGCGGTAGCTTTCGGAAAGGTGAAAAAACATATATTTAATACTTGCGCCGGGTATTTAATTTTCGGCTCCGCCCGAACTTAGACTTTCTTACTTGTTTAGTATATCTTTTTTAAGTTTTCATTTAAATGCGATTGCGCGATGGAATCTTCTTTGTTATACAAAACTGAAAATAATGAATTTTCTGAAATATGTGTGCCACCATTTTTGACCAAACACGTTTTTGTCGCAAAATGTAAAGACTTGTGAGATTTGCTTATATACATGTCGTCGCCGCCACGGTAAAAGCTGCTAACTCCTCTTTTCGGTCAAAATAACTTTTTGATAGATACTGATCGAAAGCGGGAAATGTCTCTACAAGGTGGTGAGAGCAAAAAGTTTTTTAGTATTTAGAAGCTCTAAAAATAATTGAAAATAAAATTCGCTAACTGAAAAAAATATTTTAGTACAAAGGACCTATATACATAACACAAATTTTGATTTTGATTGATTTTGATACACACGTTCTTCGTTTGGCAAGCATATGTATTCCCCACGCTATTGATTGAGAGTGCGCTCCAACATACATACATCTGCGTTTGCTTAAGGTTATATTTTTTGTCTTTTTTCTATCTTGATCCCTACCTCTACCCCTGCACTGAAAATAAAATTTCGTAAAAGTGCTACGAAAATCTTTCGTAGTGTTAGTTTTTGTACAATGTACGAAACTTTCGTTTATAATGCGAACACATTTTTCACAACGAAACAAGATTTTACGAACCATACGTAAATATAACGAAAGGACTTTTGTAAGGTATGTTTTCAGTACAATTTACGAAATCTTCCGTTTATTTTACGAAACACATTCGTAAAGCACTGAACAAATCTCTGTACGAATAATTTTGTTTATTGTAGGAAGGCATTCGTAATATTTACGTATGGTTTTAAAATTTACGAAATCTACATCTCAGTATTCGTACAATTTAGTTAATACTTTCGTATAAAGTACTAATGCAGAAACATGGCGCAGCGTAGTCGATGTTAAAAACATTGTATGCTTAAAAGCATAGTATGTATATCCACAGCTTTAATATTTAATTTTATAGTGTTTTTTATCAAGCAAATTCCTTTTTAAAACGTTTAAAATTATATTATACGTTTCACAGCAGCCATGTTGTACCATACGAATATTTTCGTACAAGATACTCAATTACCGGCAGTTTAATATTTCATCATATTTTTTGTATCGCGTGTCATTGCGGAGTTAATTGTTGGCTGCTGTGAAACATATAATATAATTTTAAACGTTTTAAAAAGGAATTTGCTTGATAAAAAACAATATAAAATTAAATATTAAAGCTCTGGATATACTATGCTTTTAAGCATACAATGATTGTAACATCGACTACGCTGCGCCTTGCGCTGCAATGTGGGACTTGATAAATAGGTAATTTCATCACTTACCTATCAGCGGCAAGCCTAAGCCAGGAGCACTACTTAATGTAATTAAAAGTTAGTACATGTATGACTTTTCACTGAAACTTGCTTTTCAGAGGCCTTATAATTTTCCTTTAATTTATAGTCGTCAAGGAAAGAAACATCGATGAAGCTGCGAATCTGTCAAGTGCCTCTACATAAAAATATTATAATGTTTAAAAAAGTAAAACCAGTATTTTTTATATTCTTTCATATTTTATATCTTATTATATTTAGTTTTGTTGAGTCTCATAGTTTAACACTTTGCACCAATAAAGTATTGAATGAAGCCTAAGCAATAAAAAATATGTAGTATAGAACCTATTCCTATGCATATAAATAAAAGACTTAAGTTTTATTATAAGTAAAATAACCTTTTTTATTAATTCTAAGCTACAGTGTAGTCAGAAAATTCTTCTTCTTTCGTAGAACGTATGATTGCTTTAATTATTAACACTATAAAAAACATTACTAAAATTATAGCACAACACTTTCATTATATTTTAATCAATAATGTTAAGTGTTTTTGCAAAACGTTTTGTTAAACAAAAACGCTTAAAATTAACGATAAAAAAAAATAAAAGTGTTGTGTTATAATTCGTAATAAGTTTTTTACAGTGAGGAGAATGAAAGCAAAATCGCACATTCTACGAAACAAGCGCAGATTTTACGAAAGTGATTTCGTTAAATATACGAATTATTTCTGTGCATTTTACAAAAATTTAAAAAATAGTACGAAATTCTTTAGTAAGTAGTACTAAATTCTTTAGTAAATAGTACGAATACATTCGTAAAATGTACTAAAAATCTGATGCCTCATATTTTCGTAGTATGTACGAAAAGGGTTTTGTACAATCAACGAAAACTTTCGTGGCTCAAAATGACGAAAAATTTCGTAAGATTTACGCAAGTTTTCGTTATATTTACGCAGATTTTATTTTCAATGTGTTCGTTCTAATTACATTTATGTTATTCTGTTTTTCTTTATCTTTATACTCTATCGATAACAAAATCGATAGTAACATCCAGCAAAATATCGATAACAAAACCGACATCGATAGCAAAACCAGGGCTGCAAACCACTCCTAAAATCGGTGCGGTTCGGTTCAGTGGTTCGAACCACTTAGAAAAAGCTTGTACCGGTACAAGAACCGGTTCACGAGCATCCCTTATATAAATATTACAAAAATATGACAAATTCATAATATACAAATTAAAGGTTTTGTTATTGAGATCAAATTTAAATATCCACATGTAGGATGGTGGAAAAAATAGGGAGGCGACACTTTATCAAGTATTGGCTATTTTTCTTTTCTTTATTTAATGCTTATATTTTTTAACCATATAAACCCAATTTTCAAACTTTGTGCAAAAACTATGAATATTCTGCACAGTTTCATCTAAATTGCAAACTTTTTAATAAGAATTTCTAGGAAAAAATTTTTAAGTTTTAAGTCGATTTTTAGCAATTTTTCACGGATTTTCTTCCATACGAAGTATGTATGTTGGACAATTTTTTCCTATGGAAGAAAACAACACAATTATTTAAAATCAACGCGAGCCTAGTCGAGTATGTAGATTAAAACAGCATACTCAGAATTTTGAATTGATACTCAAAATCTTGGCTTAATGTTGAAAACCTCATACGAAAATTAGGAAAATCTACAAATTTCAACAAAATTTCATCAAAGATTCAAACTTTTTAATCCAAACTGCAAAAATCCGAATTTTATAAATTTTTGTTAACAAGCATTGTTAAACATTTTCTTCTGTATAAAAAAGTCAAGCATTCTTTATATGGACTAAATTACAACTCGGAGTTGCCATCAAACAAAAAAATGTTTGCATTTTCACTATACGGGTCGCATTTTTAGACCAAGTATTACAAAACTTGAAAAATGCTTTAGTGAATTCTAATTTTTGAACCGAATCGAGCCGAACCATTTTTTGGAGTGGTTTTCGGTTCGGTTTTGGCATTTAAAAATAAAAACGGTTCGTTATGTGGTTCGGTTCGAAGCCCGAAAAAAGCGACGGTTCTGTTCAAAAACCGGTTCGGTTCAAAACCGGTTTTCAGCCCTGAGCAAAACCGATAATAACATTGGTAGAAAAATCTATTTGAAAATCGATAAAAATATCGGTAACAAAACCGATAAAAATGTCGATAACAAAATCGATAACCAAAATCGATTAAAAAAATTTATAAAAATATCGATACAAAGTCGGTTAAAATATCGATAACAAAATCGATTAAAATATCGATAGCAACATCGATAAAAATATCCATAACAAAATCGATAAAAATATCGATAACAAAATCTATAAATAATCGATAACAAAATCGGTAAATAATCGATAAGAAAATCGATAATCAATTGATAACAAAATCGATACAATTATCGATAACAAATTCGATAAAAGTACCGATAACAATATCAATAACAAAACCAATAACAATATCCGTAGAAAATATCTATAACAAACTCGTTAAAAAATCGATTACAAAATCGATAAAAATATTGATTATTATATCGATAAGTTCCGAAAATATCCATAGCAAAATCGATAAAAATTTCGTTAACAAAGTCGATAAAAATATGGATTATTATATCGATAAGTCCCGAGAATCCCGAAAATCTCTAAAATCCAAAAATAGTTCCCAGATTGAGTCTCTGTGTCTCTCTATATCCTTTCCTCTTTAATTACCTTTATTTTAATCCTTCTTCCTTTATCTTCATCTTTACTTTTATCGGTATCCTCATCCTCATCTTTTTCTTTATATTTATCTTTGTTTTTACTTTT